AAAAAAGTAACAAAAATATGATAATTAACGAATATACATAATCGGTGTATGAATCTTTTCGATTTGATATATAAATGTGCTTTTTGTTCGTTTAATCCATCGGACGGCATTAGTTGTAATCATTTATTTAATAATTTAACCCATAAAAAATAAGTAAGAACATTATACTTGAGCAACGCCAACAATATATACCCTACACCACTTCGTCTAGTACAGTTATTCGCTCGTTTTGATAATAATCATTCTGAACCGATCGGTATAATAAAAGGTAGATTTATCTTAAGCCCTTCTGCGTGTTACATACGTTCACACACTGTACTGCAAGTGGTGTAGGGTATAAAAATGAATTCTTTCTTTTTCACTTTTCACCAATCGCAACAAAAACTAAATTTATTAAATAATGCCTTCAAACGTATTGAACGAACAAAAGGCGCATTTGTGTATCAAATCCAAAAAAAATCATATACCGATTACGTGTACTCGTTAATTATCATCTTTCTGTTATTTATTATTATATTTTTTTTTTTTTTTTTTTTTTGTACATAACTAGTAAGATCTGTCCAATTCTGATTAATTAAGGCAGTTCTTTAGATCGATCTCATCGAGGAAACATTTGCCGGAATTGACGACTGATTATCGAGTCGCCGTTATCGGACGGCCCATAACAAACTGCCGTACGTCTTCAGTTGTTTGATAATTACAAAGTACATATTTTATATCATCAGTTGCTTCGAAATGTAAATATATATATAAATAATTTATTTGCCACCGTTGTTGCTACCGTTGAAAAAACTTTTATGCATAGGAATAAATCGAATCATATTTCAAAGTTTTATGTGTAGTGTTATTGTATGACTCTGCCGTACCTGCTGGGCAAATTTTCTTTTCGCTAAATGTACATAAATATTTTGGCTCGGTGTTTGCATCCGCTTGCGCCATATATACTGCACATCGCTTAAGCCGAGCTGAAGTATATTGCAAGCGACGCATAAATGGCTTGAGGTATGAAAGCTTTTTGGCCTTTGGTTCAACGATAATATGCTCGCTATGATTTTGGTTCTGATCGTCTAAGGTAAAAAAGGGATTTCCAGCCACCAATCTCGTCTCCACTTTATTGTAACGAAAGTGATTTCGTATTTGTATCGTGTATTACGCAACGTCACGGCCGTCTGCCCGAAAAAGCTTTAGCTTTTGTACTCTTCGGGTTGGTCAATACCTTTATATACGATATATATATATCGGTTTTAGTTACTTCCTATCAAATATTCGACATACAACGGAATCAATCTTGCGCGTTTAGCGAGTGCTCGTGCCTTTATAGGCACAAAAGCGGTTAGCGAACATCGAATCTTACGCCTATCGAGAAAAGATCGCTGACAAGCATTTGTGAGTGTTAGCGATTGATGATTCTCAAGACGTTATTCCTAATGTGATAATGAAAATAAATTCACTTAGTATCAAATATCAATGCAATTGACTTGAATTTATAAATATTGAAGACTGGCTCGAGATGCGAAGAGAGAATTTTCTGCTTAAATTGCTTGGGACCGAAATATACGTTAATCATTGTTCGATATTACTTTAGTTTACTTTAGTCATTCATATCATTGCGATTGTACGTAAAGAATATATTACATGGTTACGTAACATAAAAAGAGGAAGTGCACTGTAATTTATTTTTCGATCTAATACATAAAATGTAATGTGGGAATTAAAAGTAATGTAATTAAAAAATTCTTTACAAAGTTTTAAAATCGAATTATGAAATTTAGTTCTGGTATGCAACTTTAACATGGATTAAGAAAAGAAACTTTCTTGCACAATATTTTTTATTAATGTCTAACTAATAATTATACGAGAAATTTTTTTTATTGTTTGTGAACAAAAGGCGTAGCCAATAACGTTTTTTTTTTCTTTTGGTTTTTCTTTTTTCTTCAATTTTTTTTTTTTTTTTTTTCTTCTTTTCAATAATAGTATCGGAAGGTCAAATGGTATGAACAATTATTGAATTTATCCAGAGAAAAGAAAAAAAAAAAAACTTTAAAGCAACCGAAAAAGACAAATACTTTAAATTGAATTGAATCGATTGCCAAATATCCGTTAACTGCGAACACTTCCTGTATGATTTAAAGTGTAACGGTCAACTAAAGACAAGCACGCATGCTCACGTTTGCACGAGTGCCGCTCGCACTCTTGTGATTCTGTCAACTGTGATGATGTGAACGAGAAAATTATAGTTTTCAGATAAAACAAAAAAAGAAAAAAAAAACAAAAACTCAAAAGGTAGGGTTAGCCAAATAGCTTTCAATATATATACATATATATATATATATGTATAAATGATTCTCTCATAAAGTCTTGATTTTGTTGTTGTTGTTATTATTATTAAAGTTACTGTTAACATAGTTTTTTTTTTGCATAATGCTATGCAAACAAGTCGTTTGCTTGGCGGTTATAACCGAGTGCACCCATTGTTTTAGTATAAATATTGTGGTAATCCATCGTTGGTTATCAAACATAATTAAACCGTCATCAGTTAAAGTTCACATTTCGTACAAGAATTCCTTCGGTGGAACAGAGAATAATTAAAATGAAATACTTTGTAAGTTTGGTCAGGATTTCTAATACAAAAAAAAAAAAAAAAAAAAAAAAAAAAAAAAAAAAAAAAAAAAAAAACCAAAAAAAATTTGAATTATTTAAAGGAACAATAATAATAAATAAATTTCAGAATGTTTTATGTGTACTTGTGTTATGCTCCGTGTTGGCTTTATGCTATGCCGAGTTAGAAGCAGAGAATTCCGCTTTGGCGGATAAAAAAACAGAGAAACGGGGTATTTATGGTTTCGGTTATGGTCACGGTGGCTATTACGGTGGCCACGGCGGTTTCTATGGTGGTGGCCATGGTGGCGGATTCGGTTTCCCTTACTATGGAGGCTATGGTGGCTATGGTGGCTATCACGCTCCCTACTTTGGTGGTCACGGTGGCTATTATCCCTACCATGGCGGCTATGGTCATCATGGTTTCTATCATTAAAAATAATACCACACACAAGATGTACAAAAGTAGAGAAAAATTAAATTGGTCTATCTATAAAATTTTTGTATTATGAATTATGTGTAAAAAGATTTGTTTTGTTTTGTAAATATATATGTAAATGTAAATAAGTAAATAAAATTGAAATATGGGATGCAGTAAATGGAAAAAATAATTTTTATCATAATCGAAATTATGGAATTCTGATATTTGATAGTAATTGTCGATTTGTGTTTGGTTAATTAGCATATGAGCGAAAAAAGTAAGAATTTCAAGTTTAAAAAACAATTTACAAGATGAAATCTTATATACAAATATTTATAAGCTATGCTTATTTAAATAGATTCCGTAAATAAAGGATCATTTGCTATTCTAATGGATAAGAGTCAGTAAACGCTTTTTTGTTTGTTTTACGATTTGTTGTCCGAGGACAACGACGTATACCATACTCAAAGCGAGAACGTAATTCTTTTTCATATTTTTTTTTGTATAATTAAATCACCATTTGCCAGCTGAAACATTCAAAAATGTTGTTACTTTTCTCCGAATATTTTCTCATGTTAATTATGTATACTTAAGAACTAAAGAGATTGCACCTAATATCAGCTCAAAGCTCCGGATGATGTCCTCTTCGTACAACACAAGTGAAAGATTTTGACAATCCCATGTATTCATATACAGATTAGGTCCATCGATTCAGCAACTAAGCAAATTTTTATTGGTTTCCTCAGTATCTGTTGATGGTGACCTTGATGGTGAATTAAGGACTGTAGTCGTTTTTAAAATCTTTGATCCCGTTTTTCCACATAGCTTTCAACATGTTTCTTAGCGATCGTAGTTAATATCAAAAATTTTTCTATAGCGCCAAAGTATTATTAAATTTGAAGAAAAATCAAATTAAATATTCTTATGTTTTTTGACCTTCGGAAAGGTATAAAAAATGTTATATTTATTGTTTCACTCATATGAAATACCAAATCTCCACTTAAATATAACGCTCAACTACTATCCGGACTTATTCAAAAATGTTGTCGCTTCAAAATACACTTCTTTTCTCCGCTCACGTTCTCTATTCTCAATTAGTCGGTAAAAATGTTAATTTTTCGTTCAATTGTAATTGCGTTTTAATTAAATTAGATAAAGTGATAACCATTAGAAGATCTCTGACATTGGCGTTGAACATTTGCGTAAATTGCTCATGGCTCATATGCGGCACCGAATGTATGAGGTCCAATAATTGACGTCCAACTGCATTATCGGGTGGCTGCTTGTGGCCAATAACATTTTCTACATACTTTAATATCAGTTCCAAAAGATTTTGCAATTTACCGGCCGCCTCGGAAATTTGTGCTAAATCCAACATAGGTGAAATAGTTTTCTGACGATGCGGGGAAGTTGATATAGTTTTTTGCAACAATTTCAAGCCCACTGTTTCAGGCTCATAACATGTCATTTCTACTGGTATAGGGGTAAACATACAACCAGTTTTACCGCCTGGCACACCCAATTGAATGCAAACGTAAGCTCTCAGGCCCATACGACCACTTTGCAAAGAAGTATCCACTGTTAAATGCACCGGATTATTGCATTCACGTGCATAATATTCATGAATAACAGAACTATGATTGGTTACCTCGTTCCCTGTAGCCCACCAACCTAATAATTTATAATTTTTTTTGTCAATTGAATTGTGAGGTTATGTTCCCCTCGAATACCTACCTACAACATTTTCATTTGGATTAACTTTACGATTTAAATCGTACAAATCCAAGGCATAACTTAATTCAGCTTCCACTTGATCATCATGTTCTTTATGAGGCACACAGAAACAATTAGTAACCTCAACAACACCTTTATCCACGGTGCCTAATAAGACGAATATAAAAAAACGAAAGAAAACAAATTATATATCCGTCTCTGTACATTTAATACTGAATAATTTTATACATTTACCTAATAAAGTACCAATAACACGATGAGAATCGGCATTACGGCGCTCATAGGCATCCACAACTTGGAAAAGTACTACAGGATGAACCTTTACAGTTAAATTAAGTCCGGACATGACAACGCGTCGCAAAAATTTATAAAAAAAGAATTGATGGATGGAAAAAACACCACAATGCAATTCTCTCACATTTTCTATATGAGAAAAGAGAGCGTACGATATTACTGCTAAAGATCCGAAACCAACCACGTTTGCTTTCTATGTATATTCACACAGCTGTTACAAGAAAAATATGTATTTGAGCAGAAAACAAACTAGTCGAGACATCAAACCTTAATAATATATGAATAAAGTGTATATGTAATTAAATGCATTTTTTAAGCAAACCAACAATTTTTTTTAAAAATTCTATGTGGTCAATAAAAAAATATCAATGTTTATTGGAATAATTTGACGGACTCCAGATTTTTTTCTAATTATCGTGAAAATAGACTTTTACAGTTAAAAATCCTTAGTAATGAGACAAATTTCAATTTGGTTAAAGAATGCAAGCGAACTAGAAAGAATCTATTTGCTATAACACGAATTAATCTTTCGAAAGCAAATACATAGAAATTTAAAAACATAAAGAGTTTGTTTGTTGTGTGATCTACTTTCCAATTTTCACATGTATAAGGCCGCATATATAAAGCATAAAAATGTTATTTTTAAACGTTATACCAATATTATGTTTCCATGGTTAAATACGCTGTTGGCACATTTACGAATTGTATAATAGTTGCAAATTAAAGCAAAAATGGTAACCCTGTGTTTATTCCATTAAAACAGCTGTTACGACATAAAACAAAATCAACCGTTTCTAAATTTAAGAATAACTACGTTTGGAACAACTTCATAAAGAATTAAAAAAAAACAATAATGCAAAAGAAGCGTCTGCCCGGAACCAATGTATTAGATAAATTACATCGTGGAGCTGTTTACACATGTTTAGCAGTAACACTTTATGGTACTATAATGTTGGGTTTAAGAGGCTGGCGTTATTATTCAGTAACTAGACCAGAACGACAGAAAGCCGACTTACAAATGATCGAGGAGGGATCCCATGATAAGGCTGAAGAGTTGAAATATTAGTTACAATTAAGTGTATGACAAGCGTTAAAGAAAACAAGAAAATGTAAAAATTAATTGAAATTACAGCTAATAGCTAAAAGCAATAGAAACGACAATTCTGGCTCATTGTTATTTTTTTAGTAAAACTTGTATTACGAAATATTAAATGCAGCTTCTGTAATATTTTTATGAGCGGTATGAGCTGTGTTATGCAACTAAAAAACTCGAGAGCTATTAAATATCTTTGGATTTTGAAAGAAAAGTATGGTGTGTTGCTCACACAATAAACGGGAGAAGGCGGCAGTAATTTTTTTTATTTGAAAAATGTAGTTATCATTCAACGAAAAAGTTTCAATTTTCTTATTATTTTATCTTAGTTGCAGACAATGAAATTTAATATCCAATCTTAAAAACATGATAAGAGAGTATGTTAAGGGAATTTTATTAATTTAATCAGTGAAAGTGGAAGTGGTTTACAATTGTCAAGAACGTCAACTGGTAAAATTTATAAAATGTAATCTTGTTTGCAAAGCAATCCCTCTTTTTTGTTACATACGAGCTTTTCTAACTGTGCACGTATAAGTACAAAATGTTACATGGAATTTTCTAAGAGACCACCTTTGAAAATCATCTTAAAATTATTGCACGTATCAGTTAGTAGGTTTGTTCATTGTACGCGGGTTAGCGAGTCGATTAAGACCATCATTATCCACAGTATACATATAGCAGTGCTATTTACTATCGACAACAGGAACGGGACCAATAAGATGAAATGATAAATATTTATTTTAAATATAAGTAAGAAATTATTGCGCAAAATCATAGGTGGAAAAATCATTGATCACAGCACAAAATGGCTGACTTAGTCACTTTTAGTAGAGAATTGTTGATAGCCAATATATCTGTCTCTTTTTTTAATTTCGTGCTAATAACAAAAACGCTCATTTCCGGTGGAAGCAACGAAAAAAGTAAAAGAAAAATATATTTCCTATTCGTTAAATTCAAATACTCAGATTATTATCCTTTATTAACGAAGCCTTACTTCCTCACAAAGCTTAAGACCGACACTTGGGGCCGTTTTACAGCGAGCCATTATTTGGACGTTCATGTGAAAGATGAAAGGTAATATTCTCGGGACAACATTTACGGTCTTTTTCCAATTTATGCAAGAATTTGTTACTGATACTACTACGCTTCGGTGAGCTCCACCATCGAACAAAGACAATTTACAACAGTCAATGACAAAATAAAAATACACCGTAGACTTCAACTCGAGGTGCCCTGCAATATACTCTACGCTTCTTGGTGACGTTAATCGAATGTATTTTCGTAAACGACGGTTTATTTTTATTTACTTGATAATCTGAGTTACTCAGAACTCGTATCATTTAATTCTGCGACTTTTCGACAAAGTTTGCAGAACATTTGCATTCTCAGGGTACGGTCTATCCCAGCAGCGTCGTCTACACTTCGCGCCATAATTAATGGTCCTTGTAAGTGAACAATTTATAATTGAACTTTCTGTGAAAATATTACGAGTACCGTTAGATCGACATTTTTTAAACAAATTAAAAGAAGTAAGTAAATATCTTTATCATTTGGTTTCATGAAAAAGACGCATCATATCCCAAGCCCCAAGTAAAGCGTCGAGATGTAGAAAACGAAATTTGATAAGGGGATATGTAGTGAAGTAGTTCCAAACTTCAAACAGTTAGAAGTGCAATAATGTTCCAATACATCATTCAATGGGAGGTGTTAGTGCCATAATGGCACTCAGATCTTCTATAAATTACACTATATAAATAAACCTTTGGTCAGCTATAAAGGCGAATTGGAAATTTGCAAAAATACAACTGTATCTGATTTCTTATAAAACAATAATTGAATGCGACAGTATGAATGACCCCTAATGGACATTATCGCGCAAACAAATTTATTGTGTGGTTGAGCAAATTTCAAAACTTTGTTGGTAATTGAAAATCTCCTTTGTCGAAATTTTCAATTATTAACTTAGTTCAAAATCTATCCACAATTTTTAAATTCTGCTTGTTTACTCATTTAAACGTTTTATAATATAATCTTAATTTATATTCCGATTTATTATTTGGCGAGTTGGTTTCATAAAAAGTAGTTTCCCCTAATATTTTATATTTATTGGCTTCGAATAATCTGTGCGCATTTTCACTTACAACGTCCGACTTTATAAACTGTTAAAAATGAATAGAGAAAATTTGGAAAATATTTATATGATGAATAACAAATCTAATGGAAATGTAAAAAATCACCTTTATATGTCTGCCTTTCGCCATTGTTTCGCATGCTTCTAATAATTTTTGACCTACAGTTTTGAAATTGTATTCCCTATCCACAAGCATGAACCGTATATCGAATAATTTTTTAATGCTGAGGGCGTTGAAAGGATTTCTGCTAATTAGATGATGATTTAGTACATCATAGTGTTTCTTAATTTGATTATATCTGATAAGTTTCAATGATATCGCTTCGCCCTCTATATCATGCGGTCTCATTATTGTATTCATTGCAGCTCCGATTATCTGTAAAAAATTTATGTTTTCTCAACTTTTTAACTATAACTAAAATGAAATAAAGATAAGGAATCATGTGTAAATTATCTTGAATCTCTTCTTAGTCATTTAAACTTCATAGGACTTAGTCTTGACTTATCTTTCTATGGTCGGAGTCAATTAAACAGTCTATTTGATCAGCATCAGCAGAAAGAAGAAGAAAATCGTTGAAACGAAATTTCGTAAACCACATCTCTCTCTCGCTCTCCTTCTCATACGGGATTCTAACCGTTTCATGATTTTGCGAAACGCTTCTCCATTTCATTTGCGAAATATAATTAAAGCAAACCTTTACGTCATGGACTACATCGAATATGTTCATTCAATAAAATATCAGTGTTTATGTAATGTTCGATACATGTGCGAACATTAAATACCCTATACTACATTGTCTAACACAATTCTTATTTTTATAAAAATTATTATATATCTTGCTTCTATATAAAGGCATATTTTTCATGTCCGTATTCGTGGGGTAGTACAAGTTTAATCCTTACATAGGGCAGCATCCAATAATAGGCGCGGATGGTCCAAATTTTATAAGCTTCATTTTTGTATGAAATTACTATTGTGGATTAATTTTCATCATCACACATTAAAACTGAAGACTTTTCCATATAACTTCACATATAAGGCCCTATTCTCGAAAGTCGTTATATGAAAAAAGATTGCAATTTTCAAAATTTCTCAGCAAAAGTGGCTAAGTAGTAGTATTTTGCCATTTTAAATTGATATGAAAACTTTGAATCGGCTGGCCCCCGATTGATCGTCATTTCATTACCGGGTATGATCCAATAGCCTTCCTTTTTTTTTTTTGCCCAAAATCCTGGTTTAATAATCTACAGTGATTTAGGTCAATTGTTGGTTGGCATAAAAGAAAATCCGAAAAGAAAGCTTGATGGAATCGCATAGTGTTCCTGCGAAAAATGTTTCCGTGCGTATTTTAAAGATGATTATATTGGTTTTGTTGTTCATTTAGAGTCAAAAATTTCGGATTAAATCGATTGTAGTTTTTGTTTTTTAAGAAACTTTTCACATACCTTGCCCCTCTTGTTTCTGATAAATGTACTTAAACCTTCTGATACGGAACGATAGACATGATATTCAACAAATCTACAAGATGTACCATTCAAGCAGTCCTTGAAGCATCTACCAAACGGTTCATCGCTGCAATCGCTGGTTTGTACAAATTGTAGAAACTCTGGAAGATTTTTACTATGCACAAGCTCGTATCGCAATCCTTTATAATCGTCCACGTACTCATCTGCTTCGGCCCTTTTTCTTTTCATCGCTTTTATCGCATTTAAGTTTGCTCGAGAGAATTTTACGATTTGCTTCGTTTTCTTACCCCTTTGCTTTATTTTCGGCATTGCTTTAATTTCTGACTTTTTCATGTGCTTTTCTTTCTCTAACATTTCGCGATCTTTCGTCGATTTCTTTACTATTTCGTAATATTTTGTAACAATGCCCGAAACCAATGGTTTTTCATCGACATCTTCAACTTTTTTAACGTTTGTCAACTGCCTTGTAATATGTGGTTTCAATTTTACTTCCGGCGCAGGTTTTATCGATCGTATATGCGGTGCATTAACATTCTCACCAATTGGTTTTTTTTTTAAATTTCCATCATTAGGCTCGGCAGGCTTCATATTAAACTGTTTTGAATAGGTTCTCTTCGTTCTTTCTGATTGAAGATTTCCAGGATCATGCGATTTCCTCTCTTTCTCAGCTCGCGTAATATGCTTGCCTCCAGATTTTATGATTTTATTTTTAACATCCCATTGTTGCTTAAGCCATATATTGAAGTTTTTTAAAAATTTATTCAAACTTTGAACCTGATTTATGAAACTTTTCGTCATTTCTCTATGCGATGGCCAATTAATAAAACGAAATATATTTTAAATATATCTTTAATGCATTCTTTGGGGGGAAAAAAAAGTGTTAAAAAAAAATCCGCCAAAAAAAAGAAGGAATTTTGATTTTTTTTTCCAAAATTTTGTATTTTTATTTTTTTATTTCCAAACATTAAATTTTGATTTATTTTCTTCTTCTTTTGCTGTCATCCAGCAAATTAACAAGCGCAAATTCGCTGGGATGCATAAAAATGTTCCCACGTGAACACAGTGTTCTTTGTTCAAGCCTTAGTCAAGTTGGGATTAGATTCTATCTATTATTTGTTGATTTTAGTAATTATTTCATTAAAGATTATGTATTATTTAAGTTAAGTTTTTATTAAATTATGCATATTACTCGTCTGTCACGTAGGATAGAACAGAAGAGTGAAGAGTAAGTTGCGGTGTGTAAGGTGTAATAATGTAATAAATGAGTATAAAAAGTTATAGGAAGGAATTTATGAGTGTGAGAGTACAAAAAGAATAAAGGATAAAGGAGAGTAGACTAAAATTAATTGTAATAAAATATTTTAAAAACTGTTTACCGAAAATCGTAATGCGTAGAAAGAATGTGAACGGAAAGATGGGTATTTTCATGTATGTTTTTCCTTTTTTTATTCCCGAAAAAAAATTAAGGAATATCATTACAACACCCCGACGAAAAAATTAAAATGTCATATCGGTTTATTGGGAAATTAGTAGGCTAGGCTTCGAGGGGCGAAGTTAGCTACTTCTGTTCCTCGAATTATTGATGATGTCATTGAAAAATTGAATCTTCAAAGATAGATTGGAAGAAAAGTTAAAGAGAAAATTACAGAAGGAAATCTACAATACTGTCATCAGTAGTACTCTTCTGTTAACCCTCAATTAGTTCCATCATTATGTATCCAACAAATGTTGCGAAAATCAAGATCCAAACATTTTCGAGAATTCGCCTTGGTCATACAATTTCAAGTCACCAATGGATCTTAAAAAAGTCTTCCTCCCCAATCTGCAATTGTGGACAAATTCTCACTGTAAAGCACATTCTCTGTGATTGCCTTAACTTTTCCTTAGCTAGAAGTATTGCATTTGGAACGATTAACCCCATGGGCATTCTACAATCAGCTACAGAGCAGAATATCAATACAATATATTACTTTATTAAAACCACTAGGCTCCATATCTAATGTACTTTTATAAATTAGAGCCGATAGACTGCGTCGCTAGTGCTCTATTTTTTTTTTTTTTTTTTTTTGTTCTAAAAATTTATTTCATTAGTCTAAAATTATAATAATAATAATTATAATAATTCCCGAAAAGACGAAAAATTCTTCGGAAACTCAAGAAAAGATATTTGTTGAAAGCGGAGAAAATATGGATCAGAAATGGGCTGGTGAGGAAGTAGTATTGCGATCGGTTATCTATCATTGATATTTCCATGTGCATTTAACATCCATGGGCGAAAAAGTTGAATCACAGTTCAAATTGCGTGGATACGGTGTGAGTCTGTTCGTCCGTGTAATGTCTGTTGCAAACATTCTCCTGATAAAAGAGCGACTTGCCGAAAGGTAACAGTGGTCCGTTGTGTGCAATATCGGTGCCGTTTATTGCCATTGGGTTTAACATGCATTCATTAAGAAATTTAATTTTGTTCTTCTACGTTAGGAATCGACGAAATTATTAGATGACTTTCTTTCCATTATCAGGGGAAAAATCTTCATTGAATATAATAAAATTTTTTGATTGCCGTCGAACGTTACTTGCTTTAATTTTTTGATTAACAAACCAATCGCTCTGCTCCCCAACGTTGCGTTAATCGAAAAATCTGCAGAATATTATAGAATATCATAGTTTTTACTTGAAGGTTATTAGACTCGGATTCTTCGACGCAATGTGCATATTACAAATTTAATATTCATTCATAGGCTCGCTTATGCTCGTACTCCACGATGTTTTCATGAGAAAATTCCAGTTTGAGATATTGACAGACAATGAACGTTTAGTTCTTCTAAACCATAAGCATTTCGTAAACAAACAAGATTGTTCGTTGTTAACGCGGTAAGACTTTGGAACTCGTTGCTACCCAATATCAAGGCAGGTATCAGAGCGAACAAGTTTAGAGGGGCAATTAAGGTGAATTATTATTTTTTTTTTTTTGCGGAAATGCTGCTATTGTATTGTTATTTATAAGAAAAGAGATGTGTTCAGATTATAAGTGGTACAGGAGGCGTGTCCCAGCTCTGTTTGACCGAATTTCAATGCCAATCAGCACGCAACAGCTCCCTATGTTTTGTGGCCAGTAGAACGTTTAACACAAGATTTTCTACAGATAGGGATAGGGACAGACGGACAGCCATTCTTTGGCGTTTGCCGAATTGATCAACTTTAAGCAATCTCTGATGTTTCTTTCTTTGCGTTACAAAAGTTTTGAGAGAAACAAATCGGATATTGGACGTAGCCAAGTTTTCCCATTTTCGGACAGATGCTAACCGTCGATCGCCCGCAAAATATACATATGTATAGTAATGATAGTTTTATTATTTTTGAGTATAGAGTGGTTCTCGGTGTACGTGACACTTACTACAAGCGTATGAATCGTTACGCATACGGGCAGACGAATGGACTGATGTTAATCGATTTCGATTCATAATTTGATATTAATCAACAGCGTATATGCCTTGTTTGGTCTCTGAAGTTTCTTTTGGAGATTGCAAACGTCTTAACAAAATGAATATACTTTCATCTTTGGATGATGGTTGCAATAAAGAATTAAAATCATTAAAATTCATTGTAAAACTTTATATAGAAATATTTGTGCCTCTGTACATGTACAGGGATTTTCATTAATGCCTGCATTTTGTATCCTTTTTCTTAAACCAACCAATCGAAAATTACTGGAGATTTTCCTCTCTAGGTTTCTCTAGTTTAAGCAAATGATATAATTTTTCTTATTAACAAAGCTAACGCATCAGCATAGAGACTTACTGCTCACACATCTGAGAGAATGATTGTGCGATGAAAAATCCGCTGTCGCTTCGTACACGAAAACTTCGGAATGCTGGAATGGCTATTAAGATGAAAATTATGATGCGTTGCTTGTTGTGGAAAACCCATTGCTTGGTATTTAAAACTTTTTTACAAAAATACAATCGAACACTTGTTGACAATAATAATATAATAATAAAATAAAATAACGACAATAACTGAATGAAACTGTTTGGCTTATTAAAAATAGTTTTTGTTTTGTATTTAATGTAATATCCTCGTGACATTAATAAATTTCGAAATTTAATTACAAATGAATTTATTTTATTAATTTGTATAGCAATTGCATTTTAGTATCCGGGAGTTCTACTGGTAATATCGGCTCATCATGTTCATCAACGTATCTATTATAAAATTGCTCTTGAAACAGCTTAAAACCAGCAATTTTGAAAATTTTTTGCGAGAAAATACCGGTCGCTTCAGCTTTCATAATCTACAAATATAGAGATGAAATTTTCTTCATTGGAATGAGTTGAATTAAAATATAAAAATGGAAATGAATTCTATTCATTATTACCTCAAAACCATTTTCTTTCGCCAGTTCCTCACTATATTTCAATAAACTTTTACTTACGCCCTTTCCACGAAAATTTCCATCGACCGATACAATATTAGCATTAAAAATTTTGTTGACTTTGAAATAATTAAATATATCAGTTTTGAGATTGAAGCTATAGAAAAAATTGAGAATTTTTTTAAAAGTTTCATCTCGATTCGATTCCAATTCCCATTTCGCTTTTTTAAAATCATCGCGCGTCAACGGACTATTCAATATAACGCCGGCAAGCTTTTAAAAGTTTTCAAAAAAAAAAAAATAAATAAAAAAAAAAATGTATATGTATATATATAATCATGACATCAAGACAAAAGTGAAAATAAAAATTGTACCTCATCTCTTTCATTTGTCGCCATTATGCTGAGATTCTTTTTTAGCACCTGCAAGCAAAGTTTCTCCACCTCTTTATGCGTAGTCCCATATTTATAGAGACGCACGGATTTAGATATGGGTTCATCGACAAAATAATTTTGACGCAAATGCTTCATGACCGCATTATAGCAATCTTCCGGAATGACTCGATATTGAAGTCTATAACGTATAGATCATTTCAAATTTTCTATCCTTTTTAACACTAAGCTAGATGCACTATCATCATACTTACTTAAGCTCTGGACATTTAGCGGCAGTGCAGTAACGGGACACAAAACCAATGCCAGCAATGAATCGCTTAATATTCCAGACTGAAAACATTTCTCTGCGATTATTAGATGTAACTCTTTAACGATAATTTATAACAAAAAATGACATAAATATTTAAAACGAAATCAAAGCCAAATATTTGAAGAACAACCGACAATCAATAACAAATTTTTTCACATAACTGAATTAAAAAAAAAAAAATTTAAAAAAGTTACATTTTTATTTCCCCCCCACCTACTATGATTTTATGTAATAGGCGCCAGTAAAAAATGAAAATTTTTAATTAATGAGTCTACGCATAAGTTCGCATTAAACGTGCACAAAATTCGTAGCGAAAATGGTCGTTCTTTAACATCGTAATATCGTTTTCGGAAATGTCTTAAAACCATTGACCCCTTGATTGAATATGACTTAGGAATATGGCGAAAAATTGACATGACCAACATCAGAACTGGTTAGCCGACAATAAAAAGAGAGAGACATTTTCGAAATGATAATCAGAAATTTCCTTTAAGATGCAAAGTCCGGCATATACTTCTTTTAAGTGTCAGTATAAATTTAATTCTCCCCTTAATATCCAGGTAGTCCCTAAAATTTATTATGGATTCTTACTTCTTTATATAAGGAATAAACTTGTTGTGTTGTATGAATTAAGTATTTCAGCAATCTCCCGGATCGTTGTGTGTCCATCACCTTCAATCATGATCTTTCGCTGGTCGTTATCAATTGTATTTACCCTATGAGAAAACGGAAAAGTTGTCACTGAAAATTCCCAGAACGGAGTTGTGGCAAATGCCTTCTGCTGCAGCATTAATTCCGCACACAGCACATATTTCTCTATGTGCTTTTACAGTTCTATACCTAACTGCAGCGCCGCACGGATCGACTGCGCTGCACCCGACGATTACGCCGCACCTAATAAAATCTTGTACGATCAAGCAATGGCGAAATTTATTACTTCTTATGTCCCGACGAGTTGTTGAGAAATATACACGACTGTGTGGATCTTGGTGGGAGGCATCATTCAATATAATTTTTTTCGAAAATACGTCTGCCCAGGCAACACCAGGAATCAGTGCTCGCTATCCGAATGATAACCGAATTCTTTGTATCTACGCTATATAAAATGTGGATATTGAGCGATATATGACTTTCAGTCAGTTCAATGAAAGACCCCATCAATGAAAAAGATCTCTACACATAGTGTTGATCACATTTATACTGCAAACGTTCTTTATCTGTTTTAAAGATTGACACACCAAGCTGGAGCTTAGCTGGGTTCAATTCAGCGCATTCGAAATTGGAAGAGAAAATAAATTGAATGATTTTCGATATATCATCAACTGTATAAAGATTTTTATTGCATGATACTAGAAATATATTTGTCTTGAGACTTGTAAAGAATCGAAGTGAAAGAGCGTCGATATTCCTACCTATAACAAATGAATATTTGATATATCCAAGAATCTTGATAAGATTCAGATAAGAATGCAAATTTCTTGTTTGTTTTTTTTTTTTTTTTTTTTCTCTGTTTAGTTAACATTTTTATTTACTTAAGTACACGCACACATCATTATTATTTGTTACACTTATTATAAGTAATCATTATGACATACAAACATTTAAATTACAAATAAATATTGAGAATCGCATATACATATAAGGGATGCCTCTCTTCTCTTTTCCTTATTTTAATGAAATGGACTTAAACTAAAAAAGAAAAAAAACAAAACCGCAACAAATCTTAATACAAAAGTGCAATTATATATCTAAGATCTATTTGACTTTCAAAAAGACAGACAGATCGGCGTACATATGTACATCTGAAGGTAAACGAGTGAAGTAAACCAATTTACGTAGTATTTGTTTTAAAATTGTGTTGATTAACACTTAAATTTTCTATGGAATATTCTTTCATGATTATTAGGTTATAAGTTAATATCAGAGTCAAAAACTTCTGTTGTATATCCTCTGATGGTAAACATATCGTAGGTTATGTAAGGAATATATGGATATATACGTATATCTATATGATGTGTATATATCCTATATATGTATATATGTACATATATATCATATACATATATATATTGCTGCTTACAAGTCTCCTGTTATGTACATATATATATATATATATTATTCATACATATGCACATACACACATACATACATATATACATATACCATATATATATATGCCATATGAGACTATAATGTACAGGAAACTCACAAACAAATCTAATAATGGCCGTCGTTCTGACCGTTCGGTGAGTCTCTTATAGAACAGATTAGATAAATAATAGTCGCTCTTAAAATACCACTCACATTAGTTTGAAAATACTAGCTTTTGTAATTTAGGAACTATTGCTATAGTTAACGTGAAATTCGACATAAGTTCACACTCTGATCAATATAAAAATCCGATTTCAAGATAGTCTGCATCTAGTCTATAAAAGACATTTATTTAACACTAAGATTGAGTGAAAGTTAGTTGCTTGAAGATCTTTAAAGATTTCTTTCTCTTATCGCCAAAAACTTTTACTTAAACTCTAATCTAAAAATTGTACATTTTTCTGTCTTTTCTTTAAGCTTATGTTGAAAATGCTCTGGCACAAGATCGATTAGAAATATTGCTCTTATCCATTATATATATATATAATATATTAGGTTTGAGGTTATTGAAAATGTGTTTCAAGGATAAACCGAATAATTTTTTATTTACGTAAAACGTGAAAATGTTTTGAAGGCGATCTTTACTTTATTGTTTTTCATATGGAAGAAGTGGCAGAGAGATAGCGAAATGAAAAGAAAAAATATCCTTTCAACAAAAGATTGATATTTTAACTAAAGCTATCGAACAATTATTTTTTACTGATTACGATGACGATGATGACGATGATGATGATGATGATGATGATAAGGTGATACTTTGCTTGCCTATTATGTTATTATTGTCTTAAATATTAATCAACATAATCTCATCGTTCTCATGATGCCCTTTGACATTTCATCCTTTGTTCTTTTATACACATATACATAAACAAGTTAATCATCGTTTTAATAGTGAACAGTAACAGTAAGAAGTATTTGATTCGTAACTAATGTATGTAAATTATTGCATATGAAGCCCTGTAAAGCTTTTATTTATTATTATTCTTATTATTATTCGAAGTACTCGATAGTAATGAATAGGAGGATTTTTGAAAAATTCAATTCAATCTAAACGCTTGTAAAGCAATTGCAATTTAATATGCGGTGATTCTACGGGCAATATTGCCTCATTATCATTATCTACATATTTATTGTAATACTGTTCGTGCAATACTTCAAAACCGGCCGATTTAAAAATCTTTTGTGAGAAAACACCGGTGGCATCAGCTTTCAAAAGCTAAAAATTAATATTAAAGTGAAATTTTAAATTTATATTCAAATTAATGATAATAATAATAATAATAATTATTTACCTTAAAGCCATGTTCTCTCGCCAAACTTTCACTGCTTTCTACTAAATGCTTCGCTATACCTTTGCCACGAAATTTTTCATCTACCGACAATATGCTCATATCGAAAGCTTTATCAATTTGAAAATACTCAAATATATTCGTTTGAAGATTGTGATCGTAGAGAAGTTGAAAGATTTTTCTATATTTTTCATCATCTTTTGTTTGCAATTTTTTTTTTGCTGTTTCCAAATCGCCCGGACGTAAAATACCGTTCAATACAACACCAGCAATCTAACACGAAATAATTATGAAAAATAAATGAAAATTTCTTCCATGCAAGAAATCACAATTTCCCTTATACCTCATTCTCATCACTTACGGCCATTACACTTAGATTAGCCTCTAAAGTTTTCAGGCTATGTTCTTCTAAATATTTATGACCTTCACCGCGTTTGCAAAGATTTACCGCTTTATTTAAAGGTTCATCAGCAAAGAAATTTTGTCGTAAATGTTCTATAACCTCATCAAAACGCTTAACTGGTATCACTTGGTATTCCATACTAAAAAAAAAAAAAAAAAAAAAAAAAATTAAAAAAAGCAAAGAAACAAAACTATTAAGTATAAAGAAAAGAAATCAAGTTTTTTTTTTCAATTAAATATTTTCGATATGATATGGGTGGGAAACGTATTTCAACCTATTTTTCAAACCAATAGAAAGACGCCGCTGAATACCGTGGAACACTTTATCTAACAACGATATTTTAAAATAAGGTGTTATATGGGGCGTAGGTGGAAAAATGGTCCGATCCGAAACATTTTCAATAGTGCTCGGTGCTTGAGCCAAAACAGGTCCGTGTATTAAGTTTCATCAAAATATCTCTAAAATTACGATGCATAGCTTGAACAGAAAACTACAAGATGACCAGACGAGTTAAAGAACAGCCAAGTTCAAGTCGATCCGAATCGATCTATCTATCTCAGGTATACATTCGCAAACATAATAATATAATCTTGTAGCACATATAGTGCAGGGTATAATGATCGCCTTTCAGATCTAACACGATGTTGTGATTTTATTTTATTAGCATAGTTTGAATTATTAAAGCAACGACTTTCGCAATCAAAAACGTCAGTGTATCAAATATCATCGAAGATTGCAACTTGTGCATGGACAGACATCAGACAGACTAGCGACTGGACATACTTAATTCGACGAAAAAAGCTGCCGCGTGGTGAAGTGGCTAAGAAGCGCGACTGTTAAGTGCCTACAATCTTCAATACGGTAGAGCATACTCTAATTGATGAGTGCTCGGGGTCGACAAGAACGTAACACTCTACCCATCTCTCTCTCTCTCTCTCTCTCTCTCTCGATCTCTTTCTTTCTCTCTCTCTCGATCTCTTTCTTTCTCTCTCTCTCGATCTCTCTCTCGATCTCTTTCTCTCTCTCGCTCTCTTTCTCTCTCTCGCTCTCTTTCTCTCTCGCTCCCCCCTTCTCTAATTCTTTCTGACTCCTATCGTATAGGTGTCATCCCCTGAACGATTGATTATAAACAAAAAAAAAGAGAAGAAAAAATTTGTCTGCTTGTTGCACACGACCTTGCCACAAGTAGTATAGCGTATAAAAGTTGTTTGCTACTTTCGTTGTTGTGTCTAATCAATATAACAATTTTTGACATATCATATACTAGCAAGCTGTGTGGAAATATGTTCCGCAAGAAGTTCCTACGAACTACTATTCAGTTGTGCTGCATTCATCATTCATTCAAGCTGCCCGCTAACCAGCTCTTGTTTATCGAAAACGAAAGGTGTCAAAAGTCAATGCACTTATCATTTCGCTAAAGCAAGTAAAAAGTATTGCAACCTAATATGGGAGACGTCAGATGGGATAGGGCCCATAAGGTGGCCTGACGGAATTTAGATTAAATAAAATTGATCTTCTTGGGTTTGTTATTATTACTTATTAATCAGATATTATAGACCGGCAAGGCCGAACTTTAACTAGCCTACAGCACTTCGTCGAAGTGCTGATTTATTTTCGTGAGAAAATACCGAAACCTATACCTTGTTTCCATGCAGAAGCATGTTTTTTTCTGAGTCCTTATATTAGGGAATGCTTAGTAAACTTAATTTTCATAATAAAGATCGTCTTAATCTTCATCTGGTTTTGTTGCCTGGGAAAGGCTTAATTATTTAGGGGGGGGGGGGGGGGGGGGGGGGGGGGGGGGGGGGGG